ATAATCCATGTGATTGTGAATTATTAACAACAAAAATAGGCTAAGAATAATGTCTTACTGTAAATTGTAAGGCCACCGATTTGTGACATTATACTACGATAAATTAAGAAAACACAATGTCACCGGGAGCGTCACAGTACAAGCTTTTAATTCAAAGTGAAGAAGTTTTGCCTGAAATCTGTAAACCACGAGGTTGCGTCCCCGATCAAGATGTATTCCAAGCATCATGAGAATATCCAAACGAGCATTTGTCATAGTGGAACGTAAGCCATGTTTAATTAGTCCCATTGAACAGGGGCGGATCCAAAAAATTTCAAGCGGGGAGAGGGGCACTTGTATTCCTTTTTTTAATTTCAATACATAACATTAATATGCACTGACATTTAAAAAAATAGTATCAAAACGCTGTTTTGACGCTTGACACTGTTCTGCTGTCTTACGTTCCAATAGATGTTTGAACGTAATTAATTCATTGTGAAGAAGAATATCTGTTGTTTCATGGGCTTAATTCAATGTGGAAAGTAATAGGCCTATATACGGTAGTCGGATAACTTACAATAAAAGGCACGTGAATTTATATTATTATTATTATTATTATTATCATTATTATTATTATTATTATTATTATTATTATTATTATTATTATTATTATTATTATTATTGTAATTATTAAAATAATTGTTGTTGTTGTTTTTGTTATTATTGTGATGAAAAGTTAACACAAACAATACACAAATAGGTCAATGAATGCGATATGGTTGCTAAACGAACAGATATGTAAAAATATATTTCCCCGACGGAACATACTCGTCTTCCCCGATGTGGGGGGGGGGGTCTATATATATAATTTTCAAACATTCAATATGATTTGCAGATTTTCTCAATATTTCTCCACCTTCACAATGAATTGTATTTTGGTTAGGCCTATGATCTATCAGAAAACATTTCGTTTGCGTGTTTTAACGTGTGCCGCGAGCCCTTTCAAGGTACACCCGGAATTGGTGGGTTAAGGTGGAAAATGTCAACCTTCCTTCGGGCTTATTGAATATGCACGTGCTATCGAGATGAGAGACTGTTAAACTGGGAGTTGGTCTCGGCCACACCTTCATATAAATAGCTCTACGTAAAGTCAAGGTCCCAATCTAATGACTCTTCCTCTCTTGGTTTGATTTAAAAAAAAATAAAGATCAAAGTATATATAAAATTCAAGGAGACAATACTTGGCATTGTATTTGCTATTTGTTGACCTATATCCACTGGTAATCTAAGCATACAGTAAAACACATGTGACCACCATCGGTAAAGCATAAGAATCGATTTGCTAGCGCGTGCCACATGTTGAAAGACACCTATGGAACCGGGATGACATCGAGTTCCACAATGAGGGCGCTATACAAATAATATGTAAGGCCTCTTAGTTTTCCTCTAGTTCATTATCATTGAAATGTATTGTTGGTTAATGCGATAGTGGTTTTTTAGTTCGAAGAGGCGATCGAACAGCTTAACTACCATTAAAATATGGACAAAAGTGTGGCACGAGATGATATGTGATTATCGAGATCAAAGGTGATGTTGAAAACAGAACTCATCGGCTCAAATCGATACATAGACCATGACCATAGTTCAGGAGAACAGTGATTAGTTTCTGTTGACGTAACATGCCTTTTGGGTGCAAAAGCCGCACTCTTGACTCTACGACGACACAATGCTTGCTGTTACACTGTATTTGGATCATTGAGGAGAAATCAATACTCTATCACCAGGTCTCTTTTAAGAGGCTTGCGGAGTGTAGTTGTTTTTTAGTTGTCAAAACATATTGAGATTTTTTTTTGTCCGGATTTAACCCATAGCATTGAAATTGAAAGGCAAGAATCTTATCCAGCAAAATAATGTAATACCGTATTTATTCGAATAAACGCCTGCTTTGAATAAACGCCCCTCCAGAGCCTCAGTTGAAATAAACGCCTCCTCGAACAAACGCCCCGAGGCGGTGAAATTAAGAGGCGTTTATTTGGGCACGGAGAAACTAATTCCTCCATGATTTGAGTGTATACGAATCCATTTTACAAAAAAAAAAAAAAAAAAAAAAAAAAAAAAAAAAAAAAAACGTCTCCCTCGAATAAACTCCCTCTCAAAAACCCTTCTCAACAATAACATACAGAAGCGTTTATTCGAATCAGTATATAATAATTATAAACGTTGGTGTTAGACGAAAAGCGGTATCAGATTTTATCAACATAGAAAAATATTATCTTCGTGCATTAATTTTTTTTATATAAACGGACAATAATGTCTGAAAACAAAGAAAATTGCTAAAAAGAACGTTGTTATAATAATGAGTGCAAAAACACAGTTTTAATGTGATCCATCGACAGTCGTCTTGCAACGAACAATCAGAAAAAACGTCTATATTTTGATGTTACAGGTGTTAATCAAATGTTACGTAGTGAATTAACAGAGATTAGTTTACTTTCGCTAATAATTCTAGCTCTATTTAAGAACGTTTAATTACACTCTCCAATTGTATTCTGCCAATATTTGACAGTTTAATCTTTCCTTTTATTCAAATGATTATGATGATGACATGGGTTCATTAATGTAGAACACTGCCTGGAGAAAGGTAATCTCTTTGGGCGGTTGTCCAGCTTTCTTTCTTCCATTAATCTCAGCCTAACAACTTTTGTTTTGGTAGATCTTTGTTGTGTTGTTCATTATTAATTGATAATGTTGACACGCTAGGCCTTAGTCATTCTTTCCCTTGTTTTCTTTGTCATCTATAGGGGGTAATTCGGATTTATTTTGCAGACTTATATATAAAAAAAATCTTTCGTAATTAGATGTTGTTTTGTTTCCCAACTTTTACATCATCAGTTTTACCAGTGCGGTCATCATATCTTTCTCTCGTTAGGCATACACTGTAACAATATTTTAATTTATGATGAACTAACAACATAGCAAGGACACCACACGTGGAAAGGAAAAATATGATAGAAGCATATAGAATTATAAGCCATCATCTGCATCATCACCACATGATTATTTTCATCATTATCATCATCATCGTCGTCATCTCGTCATAATTAATTTTTTTGTGATTATTACTATTAATATTATCGGTAATTTTATTACTTTTCTGCTCTCAAATATGTACTAAAAAGCGCCTCTCAAATAAGTCGGAGCACTAAACATGCATTGCCTTCGCGTATTCGATTCGATGTTTAAATAATAAATTATGAATTCGTGAGCGTGCTATAGACCTGTATTCATGAACCAAGTTTTTTTTTTTTTAATTCCATCACATCCCACACCAAGTACACTCGCCACTTACAGGATAGAACGATGCTTTATAAACCAAGTTTCTTTTTGAGACTTAGGGAGTGGAGTTGTTTTAGTCGTCAATAAAATCTGCTGAGACAGGAATTGAACCCAGGACCCTGGGATTAGCAGGCAAACATCTTAACCATTTATAAGCTATTCAACTCCACCCCAAAAAAATCATATCCTATTTTCTATCTTAAATCATATTTTGATATTACAGGGTGTAAAATACAACATTCAAATGGGTGTTTCGAGAGGGGTATCGAATACAGTGATTGAATGATAAACCAAACAAGCTTACCGTATAAGTGGTAGCTTATGAAAAGGAATCACATACACAGAGATTCAAATAGGGCCTTCCCTGTCTTTTAAGTCACTCAAACTTACCTATACCTACCAGAGGGCGCTATGCAAAAACCAAACAATGTTTTAACGGGTAAGCCTACTTTTACTAAATTAGGGCCTTTATATCGTAAGGCACGAGTTCGAGCAAATTATTTGTATTTTGTTTCGGCCGATAATATATTACTTATGGAAAAATGACGTCAGTGAATTTGTACACGTACATCTAGGTCTACGGTACTGAAAAACGCTCTGCGAAACCATGCAAATAAATATTTGACTATGAATTCAAAATGTAATGGTTCCGATCCGCATACTCAACCTGACCCCGTGTGATGTCTGATCCCTTTGTGATGGCTTATACGCCATTCATTATATTGTTTTTTAATTGAATGATTTGGTTCATATTGTATCAATATGATTGTAAAAATAACCCGAAGGCAATAGAGAATATTTTTTCCTGAATGTGGAATTTATGTTTTTGGCCTATGGCCTAACTATTGAAAATAAATTGTCTTAAATCTGTCATGCTCGTACGTGCACACACCTCATGAGACTCCCACCTCACCCCTCCCCAACACACACACCCACATACACCCACACACACACACACACACACGAGATGCGACACTACTCATGATGTATGTAGGCCTATGTAGTTATTTTTTTTATTATTTTTTTTTAATGAGTTAGTCGCTCATACCTGACTGGAACTTCAAATATGGTAAGATTGTTGATTTAGTTTAAGTCATGAGACTAATTACCAGAGTTAATCACATATGCCTATAATTGGGAGAGCTAGCACTAACGGTTATTTAATGCAAGTTTGTATAAAGCCATTGTTTGATGTTAAGACATTTTTCAAATTTCCTAATATTTGAAGTGTATTTTGGAGGTCCACAGCTCGTGACACGAGTTTCAATTGATATGTTCACTAAAATAATAGTAACATTTCCAACGTTTAGATGATGCATTTTGATCTTAAACAGTTCTTTGCTACATTATTCAGCCAGCCTAAAAAAAAAATAATCAGCTTCGTATGAACACTGACAACTTGAATCTACTGTAGATGGTTATGTAGCTTATACTTTCGTTTTCTTAGCCCTTGGCATTCAAATATCTTGCGATTTAATACGTCAGTGTACGGTTGGCACAGCGGGGGCAGGCACACGGAGACCACAACTCTACTGCGTCAATTATTATCTTGGGTGTCACGATACTGGAGCGAGCCATTCACTAGCGTGCTGTGTTTGGAAAAGCTGACCCTAGATGGAATGTCACAGAGAACTATACGACAGAAGACGTTCGTCTGATCTGATCTGGCAGAACTGAGTCGACAGCAGCCTGGAAATTATTGTCAAGAATAATTCACCGGTAAATTAATATTTTTGTTTTATGAGGCAAATATTTCAACGACCAAAAGTTAACCAGTTGAATGTAAACAATGTGAGTAATTCAAAAGTGAAGAAGATTAAAATGTTGCAACGTTGACTGGCGCATATAGCGACATAACAAATGTTTTAATGAGCGAAAATTGTCATCAAATTTGCGGGACATCATCAAATATCTAAATTAACGCAGTTTGCATAACAACGAATAGCTACTACTTCCTATCTACGATTCTTTTGAAATTTGTCTGAACATCATGGATACTTGTTTTAGCCTATGGCTGTGTTTTTGGTTTGCCGTGAGTGGGCTGAGCCTTGGTATAAGCAGTTACGATGAACTTGGGGGTGAGGTTACCAATGATATAATTTTAAATGACACATCTGGTGCGTATACAGTCACAAAAATGTTAACTATCGCGAGAAATACTACATTGACTATAGACCCGGGCTGCCGGCTATTATTTCAACATGGAACAGGGATAGTCGTTATGGGAAGTTTAGTTGTTCTTGGTACAAGTGACAATAGAGTCGCTTTCGAACCTGAAGGGGGTAAAGTATTGGACACGGGGCGGTCATCCGTCGCAGCCGATATACGACTTAGCGGGGCAACAACACCGAGAGAAGGGAGGTTAGAGATGTATTTTAACGGGCATTGGACATCTATTTGCAGTAATAGATGGGATGCACTAAAATCTAGTCTAGCTTGTCATTTGCTAGGGTACACCACAGGTGCAATGCATCCCGTTGTCATAGATGACGATGATTATTGGCTGGATGCAGAAAATGATTGGATGATGGATTTCAATTGTCATGGTAACGAATCTTCCTTCAGAGAATGTACTTTTTCAGAGGAACTAGATTATGGATCTTATATTGGAAATAACGAATGTAAGTAGACGAAATGTTTTATTTTTAGACATTTTCATACAGTAACAAACTATTTTTTAATAAATTGATTTTTTTTGGCTTTATTATGGTCTTGATATTCCTATGTGAATATTAGGCCCATATAAAGAGTAATACTTATCAATTAGGTTTCGAGGCCTATATAGTCACAATATAATGTGAGACTAATTTTTATCTTTACCTTTATGTATGTAATGCTCAAAGGCCACCGTTCACAATTGTATGCATAAACTATGAAGATACTTGTTTGATACATTTTCTGAACTAATCATTGTTGTTAATCATCATCAGTTCTGATTTAAGCTACATATTCACAATTTATAGGCCTACAAGCAATTGTATAATTATTCCAGATTCAAGAACAAGACATTTCGTTTTAGTAAATTTTTGTTTGTAACCAGCAACTTATGATATAAATTCAAACTTTGACCTACAATCTGAAGGATCGAGATGTCCAACAGCGAGATATGTCTGCTATCATGGGTATCTAAAATGGATTTTGACGAGTTCATTTAACTGTGCTAAAATAGGAACATGTTGCGACCTACAAGCTTTTTCATCTTAACCAAACTTCCACTATGTGTGAGAATTTCAGTAGGTTGTATGGGAAAAAGTGCCGTGGTCTAATGGATATGATACTTGCCTTAATAGCGAGAGGTTGCAGGCTCGAATCCCGCTTGAAATCCATACAACTGGAAATAACTTTTCGTTGATGAGTTAAGCTTGATACGATTATTACAACAGCAAACTTGATTTGTATACTAGTCAATAATAAAACTATCATTGTAACATTTTAGTTACACTTTTCAATATTCAAATTAGGTTATTGTATACCATATAATCGTACCCAATGTTTATCTCGACTGTTAGTAATGTGGTTGTTTATCATCGTTAAGTCAACTTTGATGAGTAATATTAAGTTTATCAGCGAACAACTAGAAAAACAATTATGACAAAACGATGGTAAAAACAAAGACAAATAGATTACGATGCTGGAAATCAAATTTAAAGAAATTTAAACCTTGATGAATATAACATAAAATCTATCAATTCTATTCTTATTCAAAGGTGAAGGCCGTTCAGTAGTTGGCTTGCGATGTGAGGGTGAAGGGCCTAGATACGGTAACAGCACCTGGGCCGGGATAACGTGGATGAATGCAGATAGTTATGAAGTTTTACGTGATGGAATCAAAATGTTTCGATCGACGTCACGTCTTTATCACGCTGATGTTAATGGCGCCGGAATTACGCACGATTTACATCGGCGTCCAGCATTAGAATCTTATGGTGTGCCACCGTTACTAGCGTCCGTCAAAGTGGAGTATTCGTTCGGTGATGGAGTAAACTTCAAAGATTTACCATCAGAAACTGAAATCATTGACAGTACTTTCTCACATAACTGTGGACTTGGATTATCCTTGAGTTCGGCAGTGACGGGTCGTGTGCTAATCCTGACGTCAGAGATTAGTTATAACGGCTTAGGGGGATTACAGATTAACCATACAACAAATCCATCGGACATGCATGTGATATACGATGGGCTATGTAATATAAACGCTACTGAAAATTTTACATATCCAGTCTATATTCGAAATGAAGTAAACAACCATTGTGAAATGGTATGTTATATTTTTCAATAGAAACAGAAATAAGCTTTGATGTTATATCATTTATACTTTTACATTATTTTAATTCGTATACTGTAGATATAAGGTTAAAGATATTCAGTGCTGTCGTGATTTTAAATATATGTTAGTTAATAATTAATAATTATAATGTATTACTTCTTAATGTATTGTTCTTTTTAAATGTATTTTGTATATAAATTTGATTTCTCTTGGAAGTATTAATATATTTAAATGTTTTATTGGTTAGGTTAATAATTATATATTTTAATATTCAGTGTTGTATTTTAAATGTTTTCCTTTTTTCAAATGCATTTCCTTCTTTTATGTTGGACAATAATTATTTCAGTATTCAGCATTCATTACTGAACTTATTAGGGGAATAAGCTGAAGTACCCGTCGTATTAAGCATCGGCATTGTGTGGTAGGGTGGCCAGTTTCTTTTCACGTCGCCTTTTCAATCTCCCCATTATATTTCAACCTGTTACCCATTTATACTCCTGGGTGGAGAGAGAAAAGATGCCTTGCCCAAGGGTACAAGCAAAATGCACTGTGAAGGCTTGAACCACTAGCCTCGAAGTTTGAGAGACCAAAACGCAACTGCTGGCCCACCCGTCCCCCTTCGTATATTTTAGGCCTTATTAATTATTCATATTGCAATATTATTATTACTTTTTGATAATGATTATTTCATAATATAGCAAATCCTATTAAAAGTATGCCTACTGAAAGAGAAATTTTTAATTACATACCGTCATATAGATACATTCATTGTTGCTTTTTCGTCCAAAGGTGTTCCGCGCAACTGGAAGTCAACATGTATTACTGCGAATCTACGAAGACTTTGGTTATCTTCTTGAAGTGCGAGATGGCGACAGTTCTACAGGACCGGTAATCGCCAGTAGCATAAGCGCCTCAACGTACGCCATCAGTACTGGATCATCTCTGTGGGTGCGGGCTAAATCATTAGGCCTATTCCGCAAAATGCTACGTCTATTAGTAACAACATTTGAAGGTATTTTTTTCAACACAATTCTAATAACGATAATAAGAATATACCGATCTGCTCAGGGACTTGATATGATTCCTGTTAACTTCCCACGAGGCCTAGCACAGCCCCCGGTACCCCGGAGAAGATTTTCAACAGATCATGAAATAGTTCTTGCGATGCATAACAAATTGTAGGTCTGTGGACTCTTTTCTAGTCAATAATAAAACTATCATTGTAACATTTTAGTTACACTTTTCAATATTCAAATTAGGTTATATATATAATAGAAAAGCTTATGGCTAACATAGTTGTATATATATATATAATATATGGATTAATAATAATAATAGTGCTGAAATAGGAACAAGATGTTATAATCGTATCAAGCATAGACCTTCAACGAAACGTTCCCTTTATTCAGTTGTATGAAAAAGGTGTCTCTAATGAGATTCAAACCTGCAACCTCTCGCTATCAAGGCAAATGTCGTATCCATTAGACCATGGAGACCTATAGGATATGCGTGTAGATTTAATCCCCACATACTTTCTCTCATACAACTGACTGAAACGTTCACATATACTGGAGCTATAGATAAGCTAGAAAAGCTTATAATTCGCAGCTTGGAAACCGTAGTATTCAATGGTACCAATATTCAATGTAGATATATATATAATTTTCCAAAGTTCAAGTTATATATAAGTTATATCTGATAACTGATGAGGCCTGGAAGGCCGAAACGGATCCGTCTGCAGATATTGGGATTCCTTCCAGTGGATACTTAGTTTATTTTGTCATTCTGATCGGATTTTCTCTACTGTTCCGTTTTAATTTTAAATAGTTTTATCTGAAGAGTGTCACACCATGTGTGTGGTACGAAACTAAGTAGTAATAAAATGTCTAATCAAAGCTACTGTTGAACCTCGCTTTTTATTCATTTATATATATATATATATATATATATATATATACATATATATACGAATGTTTTATGTTGTTTGTTGAATGGTCATTTATGATATTATATTCTAATATGACCACAACATAAGGAAGAACACTTTGTCACCTACAAAGGTCAGACCCATATACATTTATATTTCCTTAGGCCTAAATCATAAGGAAGTCCGCTCTATATACAAATTTCGGAAAATTATACATTTTATGCATGCATCGACGTGGAAATTTTGTTTTATGTTGTTTGTTGAATGGTCTTCTTTGAAAACATTGCTGTCTAATATGACCACAACTTAAGGAAGTTCATTCTTTAATTTTTTAATAGATAGTACAGAGAATTATGATTGTTTATCAAAATCATTATACGCATGTTAAATCCAATTTTTTTTTTAAATAAATAAATAAAAAAATACGTTTTCAGTGCAAGCTCCGACGTGGAAGGATTATCCTATAATCTTGTTAATAATGCGGTTCTAAAATTAATCTTATAACCACAACTTTTAAGTTGTAACTTCAGGAAAAATAATAATACGTTTTTATTGTACCACCACCAGCTGGGAAAGTAATTAAATATGTATAAATGTCTTCTGTGATTGTTTGATTGCCAACATTTCAATGCTTAGTGGTAGGACGGTCGGAAATAATGTATAACTCCCATAATAAGTTCATATTTCGAAAAATATATATGATCACGTTCCCTAATAGATTACATCCACAGGGTGCCCCAAGCCAAAATTTCAAAATTGAATAAATTACTCAGACTGAGTAGATTAGGCTTACTGGTTAAAATGTAAATATTTAAGATTTTATTTTTAAATCACAGAAAATCACAAATTAATATTCAGTACAATCTCGACTGTTTTGGAAATGTGGACCTTATCAAATTTGGTTGGATGCGTTATACACACTCTTCGTAACACCCCACCTACTGGATATAAGGGCTTGGAAACTTTACATTTTACCTGCCAATTAATATAGTATTATACGCTTATTAGATATCTTCTCAATTTGTCAGTATTTTATTTTATTATTATTATTATTCCACTTCCAACGCGTGTTTGATTTGAAATTTACATATCATTCACGTCGTTGCTGTTCTTCAGATTCTGTGTTCATTTTCAGTCTCTCAGTGCTCGGTGGTCATTTTGACTTTCTTTTTAGATGTACCGTACTGTATCAAAGTGTGTTCGTAAGTTTTAAGCTCTAGGTCTACAATTAGGCTACCAACTCCATTAAAGACTTGTTTTTTGTTTTTTGTTTTTGTTTTTGTTTTTGTTTTATTATTATTATTATTATTATTATTATTATTATTATTATTATTATTATTATTATTATTAATATTAACGAATAGCATTTCGTTAAAATAATGAAATAATAATTAATTAATCAAAAAGTAATAATTAAAATAATATGTTTTCGCTTTGGTGTAATTTTGGAATAA